TGTCACAAATGTAGATGAGAAGAAAGTGATATGCACTTCACCCGGCATTGAACCACCTACTAACAGTGGGAAAGAGCAGCATTGGAGCTGGTTTGATAAAACTCAGAGCTCAACTGAAGGTAGTGTAATCTTTACGTTCTCTTCATTTAATTTTTAATTATTTTACACGTTATTTTAGTCACTCCCATACTATTATTTTATCATATTGGTTCATTTATGTTTATTATACATTTATTTATTTGTTTATTATAGAAAGAGGCTTGGATGATGCCGATGGTTCCCCAAGGAATGCTGACTCATCAGATCCAGTTCAGGCTAACACTGATCAGAAAGTTGTATCAGGTATAGTGGGTTTCTTTTTGGACTGTAAACTTTTGTTCTTTTTTATTTTTCAAGCTTTAAAAATATAAATTAAACACATAAATCAGAGATACACACAGAGTAGAAAGGAAATGAAATATAAAACAAATATAATAGCTGGTTTATTATTAAGACTTATAAAGGTTCTCTCTACCTTTTAATGCTCCTAGAGAAGTCATTGTGAATATACTGTATGGTTATTGCTCACATAAAAGATATACTTACATGTCAATAATTATAAACTTTTATAATGGTACACTGCATTTTTTATGTAGCTATTTGCGAAATTCATTATTGACAATGTCAATATTAACTTTAAAGACATTCTACTATCACATCACTGACAATATTTTGAACCAGCAGCTGTTGTTTACTTGTATGTATTTCATGTGCATGAGATTCAGGTGCCAATAATACACCAATTGCACCTGCTACCTGATGAAATTAAAATTACATTGTCTTAACCAATTGTTTTTACTCTTCCCCAAATTTTTTCACAGTTTCTGATGATACCACACAAGACAATACAGCACCAGCTCCTACTATTGCTAAAGATGGAGCCACAAGCACTGTTGGAGCAGAAGAAGGTATTTCATATAATTCCTTATCTTCAGAAACATAAAATTATAGTATTTTGACATGTGAATTATCTAGATCTATATAATTATCACAATTTTCATAAATGCATACCTTTAATTAAATTTCCCAAATTTGCCCAATAATACATTTTTGAAGATTTAGTTTTGAGAAATAACACTCTTTGCCACCTTGTGCCATTACAAGTTAATTTTCATGGATTTAATTTATTCAAATTTTAATTGTGAAATCTGTAAAATATACAGCCATCACTAATTATTTTGCACTGTATTGGTATTGCTGGTTTCGTGTCACTTTGCTATCATAATGTAGGACAACCTTCAGCTCAAGTCAACCAGCCACCAACTACTGGAGGAGGTAATAATTAATAATATGTGGATGTGATTAATAAAATTGCATGCAAACATTGATTTATCAACATGGCTTGCAGTAACAAAATTAGCTTGCTTGAGTCAATATGTCTGTTATTGTTTTGTATTTTTAGGCAATACAGTTTTTAATATATACAATATTAATAGTCAAGTTCAAGGACAAGGTATTTTATGTAAATTGTTAAAAGTTTCATTAACAAACAAGAACTTTTGTGATCATGTAATATGTTAATAATTTTATATGATGTGTTGGATGGTTATTGATCTCACTTTACATTGCTTTAATGTTAGATTTGTTTGTAATGACAACTATTTTTGCTTGCAATTTCATGTATAATTTGGGTATCATATACCGGTAATTTATTTATTTTACATCTTTATACCAGGTAATTCCACATTTTCTGATATCAAACAAAGCAGTACAAGCTTGTTTAATAGCCCAAACACTGCTACAGCAGGAAAAGGTACTTGTTTGTATAAGTAGACTGGTTTTAAGAATTTATACTAGTTTTGATTCCAGTAAATTATGCAAATTCCTTATTCTTTGAAACCATTAAAGAAGCGTTTGTGCAAATGTATTGAAAATACTTAAGAACTTTATTATTATTAGTTTTATTATAATCATTAGTACATGTGCTACAGATGATCATGATAGAACTGAAGTTGTATTATTTAAATTTATTTTCTATATATGTAGTTCCTGTTTCAATTCAGCTTCCTCCTGCAGTTCCTGCTCCAATCCCACCTCCTGAATTATTTCCAGAAAAGGGAGGCAAAGAGTATGAGAAAGAATTAACTGACCCTCTTGTTAAAAACATCGTTAAAGATATTCGTATTCTGCTGATGACTGCCACTGAAGTAGAGCTAAGAGGAGTGCTGGGCTACTTGAAGCCGTTAGATGGTCGGGATAAAGTTATCAAAAAATTCATTAACTGTACTCGGATTTACGTTGGAAAGTATGGGAAGCACTCAGTCGTGGTTGGAAGGACTGCATTTAGTAAAAGTCAACAAGGTGGCTTATATGCTTATGAAGTCACAAGGAACATAATAGAGATATTTAAGCCAAGGTATATAATTGCAGTTGGAATCTGCTTGGAA